CGTCCTCATCATCCTGTCCCTGCTGAAGAAAACACAGAGAGGTTTGTTGCTTGTATATGTCAGATGGTGTCACACAAAGACCGGGAGAAAATATGGAGCAGCAAGAATGAAAACTACTAGTGAAGGAATAATTAAAAACAAAAACATTGCTGCCAGTGCTTTGGGAGGCTCTTGATAGTTGTTCATATTGATTACAAAAACCACATCAGATTTCAGTATGATGAAACACTCGTGGGTTTAACACTGAGTACAATTGTGTACTAGCCCGTGGGGTGAACTGTATGACACAAAAGCCCTTTCCATCCCTGTCAGTTATGATCATATGTTAAACACGATGGGATCAACAAGCAAAATATATGGGAAACTGTAGTGTCATTATGGATTTATTAATTTATTATTATTATTTATACATTATCCAAAACAAACGAGACACTTTATTATACATTTTGAAAGGACATGGCACTTTCCCTAAAAAACTAGATCAGGCAATGCAGCAAGGAAGACAAAAACAAAAGTAGTAGGTGCAAGGCTAGAGGAAGGAAATGTGAAGACTTCATGTCTTAATCATTTGGCAAAAATGATCAGAAGATGATTAGCCCATATCATCCCATCGATTTTTCTTTTTTTAAGCTGAACTCTTCATTGAGTTATGTTATGTAACTAATTTCTAAGCAAAATACAGTGGGGAGTTCTGATTTTTTTTTAAATGACATGAAATGACCCATTATCACTATTTATTATTTGTTCTGCATTATATAAAACATAAAGACATCCCTGCCCTGAAGATCTTACAATGTAAAAGACAGACACAGAAGAGACAAGATGCATGGAAAGTCCAGGAGTGTGATTTAAGTTAGGTGCTTGTTTTGGGAACAACTCCCTTCCCCTGTCCAATGAGGGAAAAAATGGGATACATATTGTCCCTCCCCCTTTATCATAATTTCCATTAATGCTGCAGAAATTGTGTGCACTGGCATCAAAGGGAGAACATTCAAGTATGTTTTGTGTCCACTTTTCCTATTAGTGTAAAAAGAAAAATTGGCAACTGAAGAATGTTTTAAAAACCTTCAAAGTATATCCAGCTGTCTGGGTACAAAAGAAAGGAGGAAGGAGAGAGTTGCTGTTTCCTCACAGACTCTGTCAACATTACATGAAAAATGCTGCAAGAAACCACTGGAATGCAAAGAAAACCTTCTGCTTGCAACATTTTGAGTCTATAATACCTTGCCAACAGTTGTCCCAAGTGTTTTACAAACATTGGTTGTATCAGCTGATAGCAGAAAATAAGTCTTTGGCTACGTCTTCACTACAGGGGGGGGTCGATTTAAGATACGCAAATTCAGCTACGCGAATAGCGTAGCTGAATTCGACGTATCGCAGCCGACTTACCCCGCTGTGAGGACGGCGGCAAAATCGACCTCCGCGGCTTCCCGTCGACGGCTCTTACTCCCACCTTCGCTGGTGGAGTAAGAGCGTCGATTCGGGGATCGATTGTCGCGTCCTGACGGGACGCGATAAATCGATCCCCGAGAGGTCGATTTCTACCCGCCGATTCAGGCGGGTAGTGTAGACCTAGCCTTTAGCTCAGCTGAGGCTGATCTGGTGCACTGTAGAATGATTTCTCCCCAGTGTGGACAGGAAGTTGCAAGCATAGAAACTGTGCAAATGTACTGCCTCAGATTTAAGAATTACCCCCAATCCTATTTCCAACAAGAGCAGCGAGGATTATGGGGAAAGTGCTTCAGAAGTCCCAGAATGCACAGATATAACAGCGACGGCAAGAGAAGGTGTGTGAGAAAAATCACTTTTTGTATGAAAAGGAGAGTTGGATTTTAAAAAATGGGTTTTCACACTAGCAGGTGTTGAATAAATTTCCAAGGGCACTGTGCATGTGCAAAGATGTTTTAACCTACTCAAGCTATTATGATAAGATTTGAAATAGTTTAGACCTTTGTTTTATATAACACTTGCTAAATAAGTGAAAAAAACAGGCCTTTCTGTAAACAAGACTAGTTCTTTGGTCCAGATTTTGTTCTCTAAATAAGCATATTCAACTGTATAACTTACAGATTTTGATGGCTATTTCTTTTCCAGAGATCGTATGTGGTAACAGATGATATTTTCTTATGACACACACAATATGTTTGGAATTCCACTTTGTCATAAATTCCACTTTTAAAAAATAAAGGGAAAATGTTTTCTAAAATCTATATTATACCACAAGATAATGGCTGTGTGCACAAACATACCGATACATGCATAAGTATGCATGTGTAACCTATGCCTGCTTGGTGTGGTGCTCTGTTCCCCTCTAGTGGCACCTAGCTTAGCTAGAGATTGATGAATCTGCTACAGCCTTAGTTACAGGGATGCTGGAACAATTTGTATAGTGGGGGCACTGAGAGCCTGTATATGATGGAAACCACTTCAAGCCAGGGGGTGTGGCATATCCCCTAGTTGCAGCACCTATGCTTACCTAAGAGCCAGTTAGCTTTTTAGCTCATGCAGTAGAGGCTCATACACTAAGCTTCAGAGGTCCTAGGTTCAGTCCTGTCTGTAGATGAACAGGGTCTATTGGTGTTACACATGCATGTGTATGTGTACACACATATACAAACTAGCACCCCTAGCCGGAATAGACTTACATTCATTCTTAATTTTCTGCGCTCTGAATATTCCCATTGAAGGCAGTAAATCTATGCAGGATTGGGGTCATGGACTAGAACCTTGATAAACTGCATACTTCATAATTACTTCCAAAACTGGTGGTTTATCCACTTACTAGGAAATATTTAATAGGAGATTGCTGTAATGAGATCTAGATGTCCACATTTTTATAAGATATTCTACAGTACCTTTACTTAGAGTGTAAGCTCTCCAGGGCAAGGACTGTCTTTCTGTAATGTGTTTGTTCAGTGCCCACCAGAATGGTGCCCGATCCATGATTGGGATCCCTTGGGACTATCACAATATAAATAATTCGTAGTTGTATATTATGAAGTGTTATAAAATCAACAATGTCAAAATAAATATAGAGTACATTTTGCGATGCACTCTTAATTTTTGTTGTTTATTCATTTACACCTCTTAATTTTAAGCGTGTACTTAAGTGCTTGCCTGAATAGGTACTGATTTAGTCACATGCTTAAGTATACCAGGGCCTTTCAGTTAAACCTCAGAGGTGGTGAACTCCTCTTCAGAAGTGCGGAGTGTACTAATCTTCCATGCACATCAGTGGGATTTGAGGGCACACTTCACCTTGCAGGGTCAAGCCATTAATTCCTCATTTGCATAATTCAATCAGTTATTCATAATAGGCAATCCTGTCATTACTTAAAATTGTTGAGGTTATATAATCTGTATATGTGCATAAATATATTCACACACAAGTAGAATCTTGCTGATCTGCACTATTTTATACAGTTAAACTGACACACTGTCTCCAAGATATGTTTTCCATTTCCAATACTAAGCAACTGGGATTTGGCAGGCAGTCTCTTTTTCCACACAAAGCTGTAACACAGTTTGAATATAATAAATAAACAAACCAGAATATATTATCTGAAACCTGTTATGGGCTGCTGCTGCCTGTCTATAAAAAAGAAACATATATGTGAAACTAAACAGTGAGCCAAGAGGAACAAAAAAATGGAGATTGGGGTAGGCAAAAATGCTCAGCCAAGACTATTAAACTAAGAAGCATACAGTGAATTAGGCAAATGCCAGTACCACCATCTGTTCATACATGTGTGCCTGTTTCACATATGTGTAGATACTGTAGGTGCTTTTTTCTTTTTTGGTTTGAGTGTGTGACAGCCTGGTGAAAGCTGGCAGCTCAACTGACTGTTAGAAATAGTTGAGTGTGCAGGCAGCCCTCCCCCCTGATCTTGTCATGCAAAATGTATTCCTTCTTCATCCAAGGCAAGGGGGACACACATTTCACAGCAGCAAAGGAAGAATAAAATGCAAGGAGGAAATTACAAACTGAGGGGGAAGAAGATTAAAGGCTGCTTTTCCTCATCCCCCTCCGCACAGGAAGAGTTCTTTGTTATATTTATAAAATTGATTAGATAAGTGTGGATTTGTGACTATGGATTGGAGAAAGGCTGCTGCTGTCATCATTTTGGTGGATGGGCTATGAATGAAAGCTGAATATCAATGTATTGAGCAAAGGAAGGGTAGAGCCTTTACCATTTACGTGCATGTTTATCAGGGTCAGGGATTAGTTCTGTACGGTTTTTCTCATTCTCTCCTGCTGGTTGCAGCAAGCTGGACGGTTCGGATGACACTGGTGAAGGAATTGATCATTTACTGCCTATACTTTGGATTTTCTTTCTCCTCGGTGGTTCTGGTTATTATGTAAAATAATTTGGGAGAGAATTTCTCCCTATTGCAGAGAGACAGAGGCAGCAGGAAGGAGCTGAGTTTTGCAGCCTTGGGTGTTGTTCGCAGCAACAGCCCGATTTAGTTTTCGGAGGGGTTGGGGAGCTGAGGGGGAGAAGATGAAGAACTCCGATGGGTTTTTTTTTAGAGGTGTGATCAAGGCTCAGTGGATTTAAAGTGGCTCTCTCTCAGAAGAGGTGCCCAGCTGTCCTGGCAGAGATTGATGAGCGGGCGGCTTTTTCACTGTGCCTGCCCTTGCTTCCTCGCGATCGTGCCGTTTCGTGCAAAAAGGGGAGGAAACTGTGCCCATCATGTCTTAATGTTCAGCGGGGCGTGGCGCGCCTCTTCTCCCAGCCCTGTTCTATGGCAGGCGGCAGCGGCGGCGGCAGCCTGCTTCCTTATTTTTAAAGTTGGTATTTTCTGCCTCTCAGAAGTGGGGGCAGGGCACGGCTACCCTGATACCTTCCATCTGTGGCGGCAGCCGTGTTAAGTGCTAGGCAAGCCGCCCCCCACCGCATTATTATCAAGACAAGGCGCGTTTTGCCCCAGCCCTTGGCGTAGTGCTGGCGCTGCAGCAGGGAGCGCGTTGCTGCTCTCGGGGCGGGCGCGTGTCCCCGGCGGCTCGCCGTGCAGCAGGGGGCGGGCCGGGGGCAGGCTGCCATGGGAGAGAGCATGTCCAAGCGACTGAAGCTGCAGCTGGGGGGCGAGGCGGAGATGGAGGAGCGGGCGTTCAGCAACCCCTACCCGGACTACCAGCTCCACGGAGCCGCCGCCGCCACCTCCTCGAGCCCAAGCGAGGCCGCGGAGACCCAGCGGGACCCGGCGCCCTCCCCAGTCGGGGAAGAGCCTGAGTCCCTCCCCTTCGGCCCGGACGGGAAGGTGAGCGAGCGCGCGCGCGCTGGGCCCGGGGGGCCGCCGCCTCCCAGCATTCGAGAACGCTCCGGGCTGCCGTCCAGCGTTCTAGAACCCTGCCGGGCTCTGGAACGTTCAGCCTCCTCCCCCCGCCTTAGGGGGTCCGGCCCGGCGAGGGGGGTGCTCTGCTGGTGCTGCTTGTTGCCCCTGGTGGCCGGGCTGAGGGTGGGTCGGAGGGGGCAGCGCCTGGAGGGAGGGAAGGCGCGTGGCCACATGGGGTGCAACCGGGTGGTTATTGACAAAGGTTAGCGTGGCTCAAACATTTCCCCCTACACGCCACGCCCACCAGCCGTAGCGCTGGGCTCTCATCCGCCTTGCCAGGGCCTCCTCCCACAGCACTAGGTGCTCCCTTCTCTTTCGCTCCATTGCATGCCACCCATGCGCTGCTCTATACCCTGCACTCCCCACAGCCACCCCATTATGCCTCCCACCCGCTCTGCCACACTCACATGGCACCGAGTCCTCTGAGCCCCCACGCAGCACACTGCACCCTTCTGCTCCCTGCACACTGTCATTGATCTGTATTTCACAGTAGTGCTCGTAGCCCCCCCACCCCCATAGGCCATCCCTACAAACCCACAGGTCCTCTCCCTGGCCTTTATACCCCCACCTTACCTGCATTAGTCTGGGACACCCCATTTCCTACTAGGGTGGCCATCACACATCCCCAGAATACTGGACATTCCAATACTTCCAGAAATGGTGTGAACTCATCCCGCTGGCGTGACCCCGCACGTATGTGCATGCAAGATCACGCTGCACAGCGCATGCCATTTTTAAGAGAACATCGCTCTGCCCCCCCCCCTCCCCCACTGATGTGACCTTGTGTGCAGCTCAGACTGGGGGTGGTGGAGTGGTGCATTTTTCAAAATGGTACCCTCTCCCTGTCCAATGCTGGATAAAACCACATTTGCTTTTGTCTCAGTACTGGCCGGGACACAAATCACCCAGAAGGAAGACTTTCAGGTTTCAAACTGGATGAATGACCTGCTTGTTTCTGACCATGCCTTTTACAGCGCTTTGCCTGCCCTCACAGACCCCTCAGGCTATGTCTATGCTTATAGTGGCATGTAGTGTGCATGCACTGCGCCCCATCTAGCATAGATATACATAGCAGTGTAGACAGTGAAGCACTGCTTAGGCGAGTAAAGGTACATCAGAGCCTTAGGATATATCCTACACTGGGCTCTACACAGCCAAGCAGTGTCTGCCCCATCTACACTGCTATTTTCAGCAGTGTAGTGTCCTGCTGCCTCCCCCACTGCTGGATGCTTTCCCTGCCACAGGGAGCTGCCAGTTCTTTTCTACACCACAGGAAAAGGCACTTCCAGAGCTTTTCCCCATTTCCTCCACCATGCCAGAGCCTTTCACTGCCGAGTATAGCTACACACCGCAATGTGGATGCAGCCTGCTTTTCACTGGCATGTAGGTTCATGTACCCTACACGCCACCGCTAGTGTAGACAAGGCCTTGGATTCTAGTTTGAACCCACAAAAATAAGAATACTCAGTTCTTGTCTTCACTGAAGAAAAAAAGTGTGCTCTTAACTTGAGATAGGAACATGCTTTTATATGCAGTGAAGGCAAGGCCTCAGAGTAAGACTGGAAACACTAGCCTTATCTACAACTCTCAATGTATGTACAGTAGAAGCTGTTTTATCCAGCACTTCATCATTCGGAAAGCTTTATAAACCAGCATTTCTGATCTTCATTGAAATTCTGGTTTATAGTCAGGTTGATGCGGGGCTGTTAGGGGGTTGGGGCGCAGGAGGGGGTTTGGAGCGCAGGCTCTGGGAGGGAGTTTAGGTGCGGGGGGGGCTCAGGGTAGCAGGTTGGGGCACAGAAGGGAGTGTGGGGTGCCGGATCTAGAGGGCGCTCAACTTGGGCAGCTCCCTGCAAGTGGCAACCTGACCTGGCTTCTCTTAGGTGGAGGCACAGCAGGCAGCTCTGTGCGCTGCCCCCACCCTGAGTGCTAGCTCCACAGCTCCCATTGGTTGGGAAACGCAGCCAATGGGAGCTGCGGGGGCAGCGCTTGTGGGGGGAGGCAGTGTGCAGAGATGCCTGCCGTGCCTCCACCTAGGAGCAGCTGGGATAGGTCACCGCTTGTGGGGAGCCGCCCAAGTTGAGCGCCCCCCAGATCTGGCACCCCACACTCCCTCCCATACCCCAGCCCACTGCCCTGAGCCCCCTCCCGCACCCAAACTCCATCCCAGAGCCTGCGCTCCACACCCCCTCCTGCACCCAAAGTCTCTTCCTCTTGTTTAACTGGCATTTTTCACTTACCAGCACCCCCCATTCCCCCAACATGCCGGATAAAACAGCTTTTACTGTATATGTTACAGCTCAGAAATTATCAAACTTTCATTAATAAAGTTATACAGAGAATGGAGGAGAGCGAGAGGAGAGAGCCTCTGTTGGGTCACTTCCCTTCCAAATGCCCAGTTTTCACCACAGTATTCTCGGCTTGCTTACACGGTGACTTACTATGCGGCAAGCCACGGTGTGACTACAGCTCACTAGCTTGCCGTGCAGTAATGTCCTCTATGAGCATTGCTATGGTGCAGTGGGACTTTCACTGTGCTTTGGCAGTGTCCCTGGCTTGCCGCACATTGACAGTGTAGCCAAGCCCTCAGTCTATGCTATTTTTAGAAAAGATGGATTTCTCTGTCTTTGATGGAGTTCACACTTACTCTTTAGATATTGCTGAGCCATTCCTTTCTCTTTTTAATCTATGGCTACTTGCATGTACACATGAAGGACAATTTCTTTTTGTAATTTTTAATTGAGTCTATGAGTCTCTTGCCTTGTGATTACATCAAATGATACACGCTTGCCAAACTGTTTAATCAGGAGAAGATCTCTGTCTAGGGACTGATATGGCCACCATCACATTGGTATCTGAGCACCTCACAGTCTACTATGTCTAAATCCCTCCAGCACCCCAGTGAGATAGGGAAGTACTATTCTCATTTTTACAGAAGAAACTGAAAAGCTGAATGACTGTCCAGGATCACACAGGAAGTCTGTAGTGGGCAAAGAATTGAGCTTTTGAGGGAGTCCCAGGCTCCCACTCTAACCACTGAGTATTTTCTTCTCAATACCACTGGATGGCTCTACCTCTGCCCTTACTGAATTTTAACACTGGTAACAGCTCATGTAGGATGTAAGAGTAATTGCTTGCCATTCTGAGAACTATGCAAAACCTGCTTGGGTGAATAAAGGATAACATGGTGACTTACTTTGAATTTCTGTGATATCAAATAATCATCTTGACACTTCAATGTAGCTTTATTTTAAATAAAGGATAGTGGTAGTGCTCTTATGGCTAGGATTCCCCTTCTTTAAGCAAAAAAAAAAAAAAAAAAAACCCTTTGGCATCACACCACCTGCCAAAACAATTAACTGCTAATTGGCATCTGTGTTGGGCATCTTGTCAGCAATGAGAATGGGCTCACAGATTGGAGTATTCTCTCATCTCTAGTAATAGTCCCTTCAGGTCAGGGTTAAGACAGATTGAAGACCTACTGAGAAGAAGTTTGCACTGTGGCTGCACGTGCAGTATTTGTAGATAAATAGAACTCTCCATTCTTCAGTCTGTCATCTTTTTTTAATCACTAGCACCAAAATTAATTAGGTCCCAGTTCTGCAAACTGCTCCCATATCCCTGCATCCACATGGAGGACCACCTGTAGAGCTGGGTGCACAGAGTGATTTGCAGGATCAGTGCCTTAATGTTAATGGCCAAATTCTGATCCGTCTCTGAGTCTCTATTGGGAGTGGGATTTGTTTGTGTATATTCAAAGGCATAATTTCTTATTTGAAAAGAGAAGGAAAATGTGTCTTGGGGATGTAATGTTATTGAGATTAGAATTAAAACTGGATGTCCCCAGAGACTTTTGTAAATACAGGTATAGCTCAAAAATCTTCATAAAACCTGGGTTATAAATTCTAATTTATTTTATGAATTTTGCAAGTAGGACCACATACTGAATATATTCAATGTGGGGAGGGGGAATTGGTTTATCTAAATATCTTTATTGTGTTAACACAGAAACACTTGGAAAGTTTTCCCTAAGTGGATCATGTGCAGGGTAGGAGATCCATCTTTTCACACCAACCCTACTTTAGATTCTACACATTCTGACCAGGTTTTAGAGAAAATGTGCATTCATAACTGCTTATTCAGTTGGACAGGCTGAGAGCATCACAAAAGTGAGAACAGAACTTGGAAAATGTGATGAATGAAGATTTTTGCTTCTGTTTTGTTTTTAAATAACTACATTTATAAAATGCACGTGGGAAGAAAATATTAACTGTATCGCAGAACATTTCAAATTCTGATTCATTTGAGAATTTTATGAATCCTTAACTCAGTGAAATTCTCCCACTGCAGATCCATGCTTCAGGAATTCCTAGCTCTAGATTTGCACTAGGAATTTGTTTCATTTTGCTAGTCTCACTATAATGGAGCATGCTAAAGTGCAATGCCTGTGTACTTTCATCCTGTCCCACATGGCATTCACTGTTGATAATTGAGGCAGTTGGTAGCTAACTGCGCAGCTTTAGTTGTAAGTATTTTGGGTCACCTGTGTACCTTATTACTTACTACTGTGAGGGAAAATTTAGCAGGCCTTAAACTTTTGTCAAGGCCCTGAGTTTGGTCAAGCTTGCTTACAGCCCTTGAACTAAGATCCTGCTTGTTTCTGTGTACAAGGGACAGAAAGAGTCAGAGTGGAAAAAAATCCCCAAACAGAATAATTTGTAATAGCCCAAGCTTAGGAAATATATAACCGCAATAGCACTGTTAGAAAAGTCAAACCGCAAACGAACCAGACTGTTCTTTTTGCTTTTGACCTGTATTAATTTTGCAATGTATTCCAAATAAGGTAATTAATATGGAAGTTAACGTGTAATTTGTCTGTGGTTTTAAGCTTTAAAAAGCTTGTGTGTTCCTGGACTCAGGGGGGC